CCCAGAATTCCCCAGCCAGCGAATGCTGGCTGGGGAATTCTGGGAGTTGAAGTCCAGACATCTTCAAGTAGCCAAGGTTGAGAAACACTGGGTTAGAATGTGGTATTGCAGGCTGACTCTGCCCACAGTCTGGAGTTCAAATCTCACCGGCTCAAGGTTGACACAGCCTTCCGTCCTTCCGAGGTGGATCAAAGGAGGACCCAGATTCTTGGGGGGCAAGAGGCTGACTCTGTAAACCGCTTAGAGAGGGCTGTAAAGCACTGTGAAGCGGTATATAAGTCTAAGTGCTAATGCTATTATGCCAAGTGTGCGGAAACTGTTAAAAGAGGCCAAACCCCCAAAATATTCAACAAGTGATTTGGATTAACTGTCCTGGGGCTATGGAGGGAGGAACCCCATAATTTGTGCATGGCTCAAAGGCACTTACATGGGTTTTTTTGTTCATATGTGGGTGCACACACATTTTAAGAAATAGGTCAGTGACTGATACACACATTGCATGAAAAAAGTGACGTCCATAACTGATCCTCAGTCGTGTTTTGACATCACGCTAAGCCCTAAAATACAGGTAGTCTTCAACTTACGACCGCGTTTCACATAATGACCGTTGCAGCATCCCAGTGGTCACATGATCAAAATTCAGACGCTTGGCAACTGACTCATATTTATGCCCGTCGCACTGTCCCCGGGAGTCACGCGATCCCCTTTTGCGACCTTCCGACAAGCCAAGTCAAGGGGGAAGGGGGGGGGAGAGCCACATTCACTTAACAACCGTGTGACTAACTTAAAAAACCGCAGGGATTCACTTAACGGCGGCGGCAAGGAAGGATCATAAAATGGGGCAAAACTGACGTGAGAAACGTCTCCCTTTCAGCCACAGACCTTTGGGGGCTCAATTGCGGTTGTAAGTCAAGGACTACCTGTATTATTTTTCAACCTAGGCTCGCACATCACGCTAAGCCCAACGCCAGGAAACCATCCTTCAGCTTCGCGGGAATTCAAAAACCCATCCAGTTCTCGCTGCTATGAGTTTACGCGCTGCGAGAATCAAGGAAAACAGGAAGCACGCGCAGAGAATCCTTCCCGCCTAAGGATGCAATTTCTCTTCTGTTATCCCGCGATGAACGCCATCTTTTTCCATGTTTTTTTCACGTCATCTTCTCCCAGAGAGGGCCGTCCCGCAGAGATTACTACCAGGTTTTTCCTTCCTCCGGTTGTCAGCGAGAAATAAATCTTTTGTTGGTTCCTCCCAAAATGGAGAGACTAGGGCCCTTCTGTCACGCGTCTGCGGGGTTCTCCATTTCTAGATCTCCTTCCTCCTCTTTGTACTGGCTGGGGAACATGCTGCTTCCCACCAAGGCCGCCACATCTTCGGGCTCCGAGTCCTCGGGCAGCACCAGAGGGATGGTGATGCCCGAATGGACCGAATAAGCATCAAGCAAGAATTCCTGTTCTGGTCTCTCTGCGTAGTTCGTAGCAGAGGGCAGAACCACGTCGCTCAAGCTGGGGCCGCTGTAAGGTGAAAATCCGGAAAACCGACCAAATTCCTCATAGAGATCCGGCAGCATGATACGTTCCATGCTGGGCAGGAAACCCCGGTCTTCCGGGGAGGATAAGGAGAAGTCTGGAAAAAAAGAAACGAAACGTGCGAGTAAGATTCAGGGTTTAGCGAAGACAAAACTGTTAATTAAGAATATGACTTTGAACCAGAAAAGGGA